AATGATAGTTCAGAGAAAAACGTCAAGCGACGCTTTACGATGCGGATAAACGACCCGCTCTCTGTACCGCTAAATTTATTGCTGAAATTCCATACGAAATTTTCTCGCTCCTTCATCTCAAACCGAGAGGAGTATACTACAGCCACGCGCCGTTAATCCCGGATCGTACATCGCCGAATTTCTGAGACATGTATGATAATCCTGATTTGCAGTCTCGACGACGATCCGCCCGGAGAATTCGCTTCCCCAAGACGATTGAGGCTTGTTTCGACCCGTATATAGAACGTATAGAAACTAGGCGAAGTATTCTATTATCAATCGGGGAGTGAAAGAGCAGTCGAGAAACTTCGGCAAGATCAAATTTCGATGGCTGAGGAACTGCGAGTAATTTCGACATATATTCATGATAGGGAAGAGGTGGAATGAGATGGAAAGGGATCTTCCATGTCGAAAATTGAACCCACCGAAACTACGTCAGTTACAATCCCCGATACTCTGCGTTCCAAAAAGGAGTGCAACAGCCCATTTAATGCTAAAAATATTTCGAAACATTTGATTGACTAATCAGAAGGAAAAATTTTACTAATTGATCAATTAAAAAATGCTTTAAAGCATTTTTTGATTGATCAATCAAAGTAGCATCAAGTGGACTGTAGCTAAGATTGTAGCGCAAAAAAGCATAAAACGGTATCGTCGGGCGCTCGTTGTGAGCGCCTGTCTCAAGATTTCTGCGCTCTTCTAGAAGGCAACTTTGAAAATAAATATATCGGGAAGGCATCGAGACGCTCCGACAATACCGATTTGGCTCGAAAAGCATCTCCTTCCGGAACAACTCGCGAATAGTGCGTCTGTTTCTCTCTCTCTCTCTTTCTACTCTTCACTTTGTACTGAGAAAAAAATATTTACTATTTGTGACTATAATTGTATGGTAAAATGACTAATTGTCTCCGAAAACAATTATAATTTTATAGTCATTTTCAGAGACAACTATGTGTACTCTTTTTAGTATATGGAATTATAAATATAATTATTACTAACATTATATCAGTAATAACTACAAAAATGGAACTTCAAACCATAATTATTTTATCATGCAATTATAATCACAAATATCAAACACTTTTTTCAGTGTGAAATGCTGTCGAGAAAATACTTATACGATACACAAACAGATACTCTCGGTCCTAATTAATTTCCTTTTTCACGTGTAAACTTTCTGGAATGAGAAAAGAGAGAGAAAGAGAAATAAAAGGAGTAGAGAGGAAGCTGAAAAGAGGTAGATGGATCGATGGCGAAAGCAGGAACGAGAGCCAGGGTATCGCACCGATATTGCGGGGTTGTTCGGGATAGGAGGACTCGTTAAATACGCGCCCATTCCTCACATTATTGGCGTATGAGTACGCAGAGTCGCCGAGAACGGGAATTGAAACGAGACATACGCCTCTCAGCTGATCCTCGCTCACTCCGTCGCGTTTCGTCGATCATCTACCACCTTCGTCACCGTTTGTCACGTTTCTTTCTCTTTCTTCTACATTCACTCCTACTTTTGTAATATCCCCTTAATATGTCATAAATATCACTCGCGAGTTTTTGTTATCCTTAACGCGTCACGGTGTATTGTATATAATTATATTTGTTTTGTTTATATATATTTATATGTATATTAAAGTATATAGTATATCACTAGAGAATATTACTTGTGTGTTCAGAAGAACCGGAATTCCTTCTGAACCCTTATCTCATCGCTCGATCCTTCTCTCGCTCTCCCAAGATGCTCTAATGTTCGTTTCGACAAGTATATTATTATCCAAATCCTTTCGCATCGAGTATATTCGTTTGTGTATATGTCTAAGATTATCCTTTTATATTGATTATACGCGCGCGTGAACAGGCGCCATCGCGACGTTTTGTAATACTCGTAATAATCTAGAGCGCAGTTAAAAGTTTGAGTCAATCGCTTATTGCTCGAATTCTTCTTATCTCTCACGTGATTTCCTCATCAAGGAACGCCCCGCGTTCGTCCTCGCCGACGGCAATCCTTTTCCGATCAAAAGAGACCGTTGAGATTCGTTGCGGATATTCGAAATTCGTCGGCATCGGTCGACATGAGATCATTTGGGCGACAAATTGACGCATACAATCGCACTTAACACTTACAATGAACTACTAATAATAATGAAATAAAAGGAAAGATAATAGAAAGTAAAGAAAATAAATTAAATGAATATCTCGCGACGATATCATACGGTCGCATTGAACAATTCGAAAATGCTTAAGACTAAAGACTAAAAGAAGAGAAATGATAGTTTCCAACATTACTATTATATATAATACTTTGACAAATAATTTAATGATGAAAGTAAGAAAAAATGGCGAGAAATATCGATTTAAAAGAAACTAATTACGCATCTTTCTTTCTTTTTTTTTTTTTTTACAGAAATCGGGCAAGACACAAACAATAATTCTTGCAAAAATATCATCAATTAAATACTCGCCGCCGTCGAGTCGATCTCGGGACGTATTCTACAAGTGAATACATATAAATTAAATATTCATTTCTCTCGCAAATTCCTTAACGAATATTTTTTATAATACTTCTCACAAATTTCTTATTTACGCAGTTTAAAGACTTATAATCTAATTTATCGCTTGAGTTACGTGAGCTAATCTCAATTTTGGGTTCCCATTTCTCGCAAACGCAGTCGCACGAACTCTTAAATATATTTTATAAAGATGCATAATAATATCTCTTAAGTATCTGTCTCACATTCTCTCTCTCTCTCTCTCTCTCTCTCTCTCTCTCTCTCTCTCTCTCCTCGCGAAACTCTCTCTCTCTCTCTCTCTCTCTCTCTCTCTCTCTCTCTCTCTCACACACACACACACACACACATAAATATCTATATTCGCTATCAGTAATGCTACCCGCTTAAGCCTAACTTAAATAGAACTCGCGAACTCGCCATCTTTTACTCTCTTAGGAGCTCATTACGTTGTCGCGTGCGGCGTGTATCGCGAGTGTGATACTGTCAATTAGTCTTAACAGCTATACGCGCGACTTCTTGTACGCGGATTACATATCGCAAGTCGCTAAAAGTCTTGCTTAAAGGTTAACGCGATTATCGAATTACTCGAATTACACATGTGTAATCGCTATAGTCTTATTTAACGCGGTGGAGAGCGGAGAAATATTGTCTTCCATTATTTGAAGAAAAATATATATATATGTATATGTATGTGTATATACGTGTTTACCATATGTATATATGTACCTATACATTTTATATATAGTTATGTACGTGTCCCTCGTATTGTTGCTCGTGTATGTAATATCGGGAGAGTCTACCCGCTCGCGCAAAGTGAATTGTGTATATTGACCTGTTGCCTCTGGAAAGGCGAAAAGACGCGAGGCTCCGCCAAGAATGACGAGCAGAAGCATCAACGACGATGCGACGAAGAGAGACTAAAAGGGTCCGTCGTCGTTCTGTTATGAAGCTGCCGTCGTTGCCAATTGCTGCTTGGATCCCGAAAAAAGGAATGCGAATCATAGGGAAAGCTCGGAGAGCTCGTTTCTTGGGAGTTACGCACTTGGCCATTTGAAGTGGATGAGTCTCCCTTCGATTCGTTCATTTGGCACTTGGCGTTGCGGACGCAGATCCTAGTCTTCCTAGTACTAGTCTTTCGCTATACGATTCGAATTGTGCTGAGGGTCTAAACGCGACCTTTTATTTTATAAAAACCAGTAAGGTTTTTATAAAAAAAAATGCCAGTAATCGGGAAAATGGCATTTTCTTCCGCGACATAACGATGAAAGCGCATACTTTGGTTCGCCGCATCGCGTTCGTCCTTCCGCTGATCTCTGACGGAGACAACTCGATCGGGGTGTCAGCGAATATACACACATATACTGTACGTGATAAAACATTATGAGAAAATAAAGAGGGACGCATAACGGAAAGTAAGAAATACGGAAATAAGAAAGGAAACGATTTAATGTTCTCTCCCTTGGTGGAGTAGAGTCGTTCACGGCGTCCGCCGCTTCTCGATTTTCTTCCTTTTATTGCTTCATGGCCGAGAGAACGGTCGTTGCGGGAACACTCAGGAGGCTCGAGGTTGCCACGAACGCTGTGAAACGAGTGCCGCTAATGGATCGCGTTAATTAATCGATGATTAACGTAATGGGCGTGGCGACGTGGATGAAACGCGGTTCCGCACGCGTTTTTGACTCTAATGCGTACGCGTTAATCTAAATAGGAACCAAAGTGTGCTGAAACGCAATGACTTGTGATTGTGAAAAGTGATGTATAAGCCGCGCAAAAACGAAAGACGAGGGACTCGAAAGAACTAACGTACATATAATGAGATATTTAATCTCGCCTCTTCACAAATAAATTAAGTAACGTATAATGAAAATTAAAACGCAAAATTCATTCGATTTCCACTTGGGAAAGTGGAAATGATACACATATGATTACACGGATGACTCTGTCCTCCTTCTTCACGTGTGTTTCTGACTCGCTGGATCTCCGTACATCGGAGATGGTTGATCCTCTTGTGTGTGGCAATCTTTGCTCTCATTCTTTGCTCGAGCGCGAATCGATTGAAATTTTAATCTTCTTCACTGGAGCCTTTCGGTTTATCTGCTTCCCACGATGCCATTCCATGATGAAAGTATCGAAGAATCCATTTCTCTCCCATCGTTTCTCGAAGATAAGAGAACGATGGATAAAATGACGAAGCATTAACGGAAGTCATTCCTTCGTCGAATATCGAGTGTTATTACTTGCAGCGCGAGCGGTGGGCCATTTCCAGAGACACTAAATCCCCGAATAAAAATCGAAAGGCGGGTTCGCGCCACGATTAACCTCGGAGAACGAATATTATATCGTATCGTACACGGGGAAGATGATCTCTTCCCCGAGAAGGATCCGTCGATCGTCGGATCCAAGAGATCAGAGAGCGGGAGCGCGTGCGGTATGATATACGTAATACGTATCCCCTCTTTAAACGTACATCCCCATCCCATACATGGATCCCCAATCGACGCCCTGGAAGCTTGACATGTCGACGTTGGTGAGCGAGTAGCCCTGATAGGGATTGCCGGGCGCCGCGGCGGCGGCCGCGGCCGCAGCGGGCG